TGATTTCAAGACCCTGGGCACAGCGCTCTGTCCATAACATGCATGCACACAGACACAGACACACCCCCTCCACACCCATTCTCTCTCTCACCTCTCGTTCCCCTTAGGTCAACAGGAATAGCAATTATGCTTTATAAGCATCTATAGGTATAGTTCTAAAATAGCTCTCGTTCACAACACAAACACTGAATGCATGACTCAACGCTTTATGCCTAAGTCCTGATTCGGCAAAACTTCTTTGGCAAGATTCCCACAGGACTTGGATGCTCACAAAGTAAGTTTGCTGAGTGGACACTAAAAACACAAAATGAGCCAGAGGGCATTATCTCTTTGCAGCAGAGAATAAATACATACATTTTCCCTGCCTCATTCCGTCATCATTTTTGTGATCCTTTGTCTTTTGTATATGCTCAGTACAACGTACCGTGTTCCTGATTGTGTCACTCTGTCTCTATCTAATCTTTTTTGTATGCCTTGCTATGTTCTATGGGCCTCATTATTCTACCTTTCCCTGAAACATCCCAACATTAAGACTCTGTACTGAAATAAGTAAGAAATAATGTGAGGAGACTGAATATATTGTAGGTCGCACAGAGAATAGTCAGTATGAGCAAGGTCCTGTGATGTTATCTGAAGATGGCAGGAGAGGTGGTTTGATTTATTTCAGGTAATGAGCCAGGTGACTTTATATCGTTCAAATGGTTCAGAAAATGGTGCAAAAATCACTTGCCAAGGTAAATAAGCAGACATTCTTTACTTTTTTCCCTTAACAAAAGAGAGTCACATTTTCTTACTTATATCTCTGAGCACCAGCATGCATTTTCTTTGACTTGAAGTGATAATAATCAGTTACATTAATAAAAGGTCAAAGGTCACAGGTATGGCTTATCCTCCCTCTGGTTAAATACATAAAAATAATAGATAGCCTGATATGAAAAACAAAACATTTAAAGCTTTTTAAAAACAGTGAACAAGAAAAATAAAAATAAGTTAATAAATAAAAAACTATGATATTTAAAAAAGTTTTCCTTCAAAGAGAGAAGCCTATTAGAATATTTGCATAAGGTGGTTTGTAGTGACAAGAAAAATGAACACACAGAGTGAAAGTGAATCATTCTTTTGAGGGCTTAAATGGAAAGAATATCAAAGAAGGAATATTGAAGCTTTACATTTGTAATTGCCCATATATTTCACATACATATAGTTGGACATATATTATGTACATTAATTTTTTGGATGAAGGAAATAAAATTCACAGAATTTGGATACATTAATTTGGAAAGTCAGTTATTACAGAGAAAATTCTGGCAGTCTCAACTACTTCGCGTACCAACACATAACCACTTTCCATTCATTCTATCAACTCGGCAGTTTGGCCTGATGGGCTTAACTGGAAAAGTGTTAGACTGTTAATTGTCACTTAGAATAAAAGTGCTACTGTTACTGGTACCATTCTTATCTTCAGGAAAGGAACTGTAAATAATTTTTGTTCACATGTTTGGCAGAATTCACCATGAAGCCTTCTGGTCCTGGACTTTTCTTCATTAGGAAGCTTTTGATTATGTTCCCACTTGTTATTACTCCATTCAAATTTTTTATTCAGTCTTGGCCAATGCATGCTTCTAGATATTTACTCATATCTTCTAGGTTATCCAAGGTGTTGGTATATAAACATTCATGGTAGTCTTTTATGATCCTTCTTAAATTTTTTGTAGCAAAAGTTATAACATCTCCTCTTTTACTCTGATTTTATTTTACTTGGCTCTTCACTTTTTTTTTTTTTTAAATCTAGCCAAAGGTTTATCATTTTTATTGATCTTTTCAAAAGACAACTCTTGTTTTCATTGATCTTTCTATTCTCTATTTCGTTTAAGTCAGCTCTAATCTTTTTTATTTCCTTCCTTCTGCTAACTTTGGGCTTAGTTTGTTCTTTTTTTCTCTAATACCTTGAAGTATGCAGTTAGGTTGTTGATTTGAAATCTTTCTATTTTTTTAATGTAGATATTTATTGCTATGAACTTCTCTCAGACCTGCTTTTTATGCATTCTGTAAGTTTTGGTATGTTGTGTTTTCATTTTCATTTTTCTGAAGATATTTTCTAATCTCCTTTTTAATTTCTTCTTTGACCTATTGGATTTTCAAGAATATGTTGCTTAATTTGCATGTATCTGTGAATTTTATCATTTAAGTGTGCATGATATTATTGTTATGTTTCATGCTTTTTGATTGGACATTAAATGAAGGCTTTCAAGTACCCCTGGCAGGCTACAGTCCACGGGTCTCAAAGAGTCAGACATGACTGAGTAACTAACACATTCACACTTTCACTTTTATTACTTACTAAAGAAGATATGGTAAGCTTTCAATCTAACCAGATTTCTTTTAAAATTAATTTCTTTTTTAGTAAGAATTTTAAAAATTGTAGCTGTTCTAATATATGTGAGAATTTACTGACCCCCTCTAAGCAAAGAAAGTCTAAGGTGACACCACCTCTCACAGGTGAAAGTTAAAGTCTTTGCATATAACGTTATTCTTTCTGTCAGAATGTCCAAGGATTGTCATTCACATTCAGCACTACAGGCCTGAAACTTGGTTGTTTGGTAGTAAACAAATTATGACACTAAATGCATAAAATTTTAAAGCACCAATAATATCTCAGTGTATTACTATAAGAGAGCATTGTTGCTTTAAATGGTAAAATAAAAAAGATATTAAATATTCTCAAGCAGTTATTTGAAACATATAGTAATGCAGAAAGTTCAACATTAATGAAATGAGAATATAACTTTAAAACAAACGCATCTTTTCCAAAATTCTGCCTTCCCCACCATCATTGTCTGTGATCATGCGCTGGGTGGAGCTGCACTGACCATCTGGGATAGGATGATGGAAAAACAATTCCCAGAACAATGAAAGAAGACAGGAAACTCTTAAACAGATATTTCCAATGTTCAAAAACTCAAATTAGCACCATGTGTTTTTGTTGTTTATTCACTAAGTTGTGCCTGACTCTCCTAAATTGTTTTTCATTTATATATTTATATATTCCACACACATTTCTAGTGGGGAAAAATTTTGCATTTTGCTTTCTTAATAAAACTGTGGAAATTTATAATACTCCTGTCTGTTCCTCATTTTTAATACTTATATCTTAGTTTGGAAAAAAATATAAAGTCATTGAATAATAAAATTACTTGATGGAATAAGACCTTTCAATTTAGATATTTATATAAATGTTTATTGAAACTGACAGATCATGATAAAGAAATCCAGAGTTATTTTAAAGAAATAAATTATCTAAATACAAAGGAATGTATTTAGTCTTCATAATTAATTCATTCTTCAAATAATACAGTGTAACAACATTTTGCTGCCTATTGAACATTTAAGATAACATGTAAGAATTCCCCTGCAAACAAAATGTTTGAATTTACATATTATGCCAGAATAACTTGAAAGTGTATGTAGCACCAAAATAACTACTACATAGGGGACAATAAAAATAAAGTTTTGGATATGATGATATTTTTCTAAAGTGAAACATAAATGCCTTAATAGGTTTGGAATCCTTATTGCTTTAAATATTTTTAAAAAATTAAGTATGTTATGTGGGCTGAGGGAAAATTTATGTTGTGCTTTCTTGTTTCATTAAATAATAATTTCGTTTAATTTAAATTTAATTGAAAAACAAGAAAAAATATGACTTGAGGGTATGTTTTTTATACATTGCTACGCTGACTAATGGAGTCTCTCCATCCTTCACGTATCTCACTAAGTCTCCTGTCAGCTTCCCCTCCCACTGCACTTCCACATCACCCTAAGCTTCAACACATGTTTATACAAGTTCATGAAAGGCTTTTTCTTTTAATAAAATTCCAATAATTTGGGATTTTTACCACTAAGCCCTTGCATATTGGTCAACAGTTCACACAGATTTCTCTTCAGGCTAAAGTAGAAACGGGCTCTATTTGAACATTCAATACAGCACGTATATTTCATGGTTTTACTGGTTCACTAACATGTTCATTTAATAATAAGAAATATTAGACAATTTGGAGAATGATACCAGGCCCATAGAAGTTACTGGGATAATTAGAAACTAAGTGTATTACATTGGACTTCACATATTTACTTACATTTTAGGGAGCGTAACTTGACGCATGGCATATCAGAATCCCCATACCTATGAGCCTAGTACAACAGGAAGGCCAGGGGGCCAATAAGACCCCTTAGATCACAGAGCGTGACTGGGAGATCAGAGCTCTCCTGCAGGTTCTGCTGCAAACTATAACAGCTTTGAAAACTTCTAGATTATTTCAGTTTTATCTATCTATAGCACGAGGATTTTGGACCTCATCCAAAAATCCTTAGAGTTTCCCTTTAAGTGTCTCCCAGCTATAAAATTTGTTAGGATTTTACTGTATCTGAACTGAAAGCATGGCAAGCTATCACTGAGAAATTTTAAGCACTTTTTTGTATTTTACACCTTTGGTTTCCATGGCCATTCCTAAGAGGACTCACCTTAGGATATTTATAAAATGTAGATTTTCTACTACAGACTCATAAAAACAGAATAGCCTATGTATTTTTTATTGAAGTAAAGCTGATTTACAACGTTGTGCCAATCTCTGCTATACGGCAAAGTGACTCAGTTTTACACATATGTACATTCTTTTTTAATATACTTTTCCATCATGGTTTATCTCAGGAGATTGGATATAGTTCCCTGTGCTACACAGTAGGAACTTGTTTTTTATACATTCTAAGCTTTCTCAGTATCTCTGACATGGCTACTCTTTCGTGTGTTGTTTCATAGGACAATTTAAAATTTTACAATAGAGAATAGTTCTTTTCCCTTTGCATCAAAACATAGAAGTACATAAGAAAGTTATACCTTTGAAAGTATAAAAAATAAATGAATAATATATCGCTTTATTGCAAGTAACTGAATATGCAATAGGTGGATCAATGTGTTTTCACATTTCATTATAGAGTAATACCTTTTTCCTTTAGGGAAGCTGGAACCTTTACTTCTTTTTCCTTAATAGGCTCTGGAAAGAAACATTAAACATGTGTTTGAAACCAAGATCAAAATGCTAACACACACATAGTGCAGTCAATAAGCTATCAGTAAGGTGAACCAAGGTGGAAATGATATGATGTTTTCTTTCAAAAATAATTTTAATCATAAAGAACAGTATAGAGCACAACAAGCCATTTTCTAGTCCTATTTTTTTAAATAAATGTAAATTGTTGAATGATGTACAATTTATGTATTCATTTAAGAGGAGTTTTTGGATAGCTAGGAACTTGCTTTGTCTGTGATTTTGAAAAAACACATGACTTCAGCATCTAGAAGTCTTCCAAAACTGTTATAATCAGCACTAACTTAGTTTACTTCTCTCAGGCTATGTTTCTTCAAAAAATAAACAATCAAACAGAAAACTCTGCATATATCATGTAAATGTGGTGTTTTAGTCATCAGACTCAAGTTAAACAGATTTCAAGAATAAGACTAAAATAAATACTGAGACAGTTTCATCTATGAACTCCCCAAATCTTAAACATGTGGTCCTTAGTTAAAGCAAATCAAGTAAAACTCCATTTATTCTACCAGGTTCAAACACAAAATGATTCTGATCATATCATGGGTTCCAAGGAGATCTATGGGCAATGCCTTGAACGACATTATGCTCCCTCAATAACTTATTAAAAATAGAAGATAAAACCAGTTCTCTGCCTTTTCTACAACACTAAGTCTCAGTATCTATTTTACTGACAAAAATGACTTATAATACAGTGAGAAAGGAAGGAAGGAAAGAAATCAATCCTTCCAGCCTTTTTTTTCTATTCCCTTCTATGGTGTGGGGTAGAATGCAAAAAATATGGTGCTGGTACTTGTAAACGGACATGCCACCCAAGCAACTCAGAAATCACTCAGTCAAGGTGAGTTTGGATCATTTCAAGAATGGATTTTGGGGTTCCATTGAAAAGGTTGTGTCCCTCAAAGCAAGATTTTCTCAGTATATAAACTACAGTCTTAAATATCCATAGGCTTGTTGAATTTCTTTAAATGGCTCTGGTGGCAAAGAAGTGTCCCTGTTGCTATTTATTGTGCTAAGAATAAATAGGATCAATTTTTTTTCTACATTTCAGCATGTGAAAATGAAATCAAGAGCCATGAATTGAATAAACACACTGAGAAGCTTCATTAACTTTTTCTTTCTGGATGATGGTGGTAATTTACTGTTTTGCATTTCCTGGCTAAACCAAAAGAATTAATGTATTGTGAAATGAGAAGTGGTGATCGTGACAGATTCTTGGTGGGGTGGGAAAATGCAATGCCTGGAATTTCAAAATTCAAAAATCCAGCATGTTGATTTAAATGGATAGCTGTATACAATTGTGTGAGATTAAAGTAGTTGTAAAGTACAAGACCTAAGAAGAGGGCCCATGGACTGCTTTGATTTTGAAGGAGAAAGAAAGAAGATGTGGAAAACAGATAGACTTTTTTAAGGTATCTGAAGGCCATAAACCTATCACTGTAAATTGGGGAAAGTCCTCAGAAAATAGAAATCATTTTTATGTCCAAGTTGCTAACAGGAAGATGCCTTTGCCGCCATGCTGGGTCATCTGCACTGACTTTCCTGCATCGCATTTCTTCTGAGTGTCCTTTTTGACTTCAAGGGACTTTGACCTGATTTAAGAAGTGTGTAGGGCGGTCTGAGCAGTCCCTAACTACCCAAGGATGCCAAAGCTGACCAATAATGGGAGACAGGGATATATGGGAACTCTTCACTTCTGTGTTAGGAAGAATAAATATATTATTGGTTTGGGTCAGCTATTTACACATTTTTTTCAACTTAACTGTCTTGTTTGTCAGGGGCAAAGCATTGGAGAGCACCTTTCTGCATGTGTGTTGTTTGTATAAATATGGTAGCTTCTTTACATTTAACCAAGAGCTTACAGGAAGTCATAGGAATCTTCATTATCTGGATCTAGAACATATTTAAAGGTGCTGGGATATAACTTGGAACTCTCAAAATAATCTGGCAGGGAGGTGGTGATGTAGAAAGGTTCAGACAGAAACAGGAAGATCATTCCAGGTTTTCCATTCCCCTACACTGCTACCAGAGTCAAAGGAACTTGGGTGAGAATTCATGACGAATAAATCACTGGGGATCAGTTGCAAAGTCATCAGAAAACTTACCATGTCCTTAGCGGTAATTTTTGTTTGGTGAGTGGGAATGGCCAAGAAAAAGTATGGTGAAGAAGACAAATAGAAGATGGGGAAAACTTCAGGTGCATGGTGCTGGGTATCAGAATATGAAAGAAGATAAGCTCTGCTGATAATTCCCTGGCATTAGATCCAAACATACACAAGCGTGAGTCACAAAACTAGTCAATAATTCTAATGTCCATCATATTACACCAATACCAGAGGCATCTGTGGGTGCTATTATTGCATTCTCAATAGAAGAGAAATAATTAATCTCCTTGTTGCCTGGTTACTGTTTGGTTTGCAGTTCCTTGGACCATCAGTGAATCCTGCAACCTCAGATAAATCAGACCAGTTGTAAGAAGCAAGTTGCAAGAAGATAGGGTGAACGTCAGAAGGACTACAGCCAATAACCGGGGCGTCTGATTTCTGGGTGGTCAGGGCCACTTAAGCAGTGCTCTGCCCACTTGAGTATGTAGAGAAGGCTTACTATCCCAGAGAGTCAGTGCTGAATCAGCAGCAAAAGCCAACAAGATGTGTCTTTCTCTGGCTCTTCTTCTTCGTAATGATCATGTTCCAGCCCTCTCTATATGTCCTTAAATACACAAGCCTGATGATGTTCTCTAGGCTTCCCTGATGGCTCAGATGGTAAAGAACCTGCCTATAATGCAGGGGCCCCAGGATTGATCCCTGGGTCGGGAAGGTTCCCTGGAGGGGGGCCTGGCAACCCACTTCAGTATTCTTGCCTGTAGAATCCCATGGACAGAGGAGCCTGGTGGTCTGCAGTCCATGGGACAGCAAAGAGTTGGACACGACTGAGTGACTAACACATCGATGTTTCTCTAAATGCCTAATTTACTCACGGTTGTCATATCCCCAGTAAATGTGACCCTAAATGATTTCCGTGCAATAATTCTGGTTTTAGAAATGCAGCATTGTTTCAGTATGGGTTTCCTAACATGTATATACAAGTGGAAACTATAGCAGACCAGCAAAGCTAGGCAACCTTTGGGCTGCTCCATGAAATAAGTGGCTATGTAGCAAGTAGAACTGCTGAACTCTGACTCTGCCACAGCTCAGCAGCAGGTTTCAAAAACTGATTCCAGAAACAATAACACTGTAGAGGTTAAAGTCACTGAAATTGTATGGGTAATATGCCATTTTCTCTGATTTTTCTATGTAAAGAAAATTATATTCAGAAACTAAAGGAAAAGTGACAATAAAATTCTTCTAAAATAGCACCCAGCTTGTATATAACAAAGATAATTGAGGGCATTAACACAGCTTGAATTTAAAAAGAGGTTCATTTAAAATAGTTCTAAATCAATAATCATATGTAATAGACTTTTATACACATGATTTTATAGTGACCATGGAGACACCTTACAAATAGTATAGAATTTAACACTGAGTAAAAAGTGTTCCCTAGGAAATTGTCTGCAATCGTATGTTAGTAACAACAGCAACAGTAAAAGAAATTACAAAAGCCTACTTCGTAAAGTGGTCAGTGTAGATTTAAATTGTCCCAGATAATGTTCTCCAGGACAGATGTTTACAACTACCATTTCCAAGTAGTTTAGGCTGCAGTACAAGTCTTTAAAGTAATAATTGAAATTTTTTATAATCATCATTGCTTGAAAGATAGCTTTAGAGGTACGACCCAACTTTTCTGTTGAGTTGTTTTCATAGCAAATGGTAATATATGGTGTAAGTATTCCTGTGACATATATGCTCAACAAAATAAGTCTATTTCATACTATATTGGAAGGAGGAAGGTTTAGATTTTGCATCTATATATGGATTTTCCTGATAGTGTGTTTCAATAATATTTTTAGTTTCCACACAAACAAGGACAATATTTTTGTAAATTGCCAGATAAAATGAGAGGGGAGGTGAGTAGTCTCTCTGTCTCAGAGAACAAATAATCAAAGGTGAAAAATGGACTGAGCTCCTCTGTGGGGATTAAGGGGAGTCACCCAATATTGAAAGGACTACGAGTATATTTTTTCACATTGCATAGACATTTGTCTATGTCAAATAGATTTTTAAGAATAGGTAGTGAGCTCTACACCCTAAGCAAAGATGCTTTAAAGAATATTAAAAAAAATTTTTTTAATAAAGAGCCTTTGTTTAAGGATTAGACAATATCTGTGTTAAAATGGAATAAAAGGGTATTAAATCCAGCAGACTGAATTCTGATTCTTGCCTTTGCTTCTCACCCACAGTGTGACATTGAGTAATTTAAATTACATATACCTCAGCTTCCTTCCTTGTTTACTGAAATGCAGATATCAAGCACAATTTGCAGAAACAAAATATATAAAGTAGAATTCAATGTGCCTGGCAAAGAGTAGATGCCCTGCTTCTCTACTTTTCCCAAATAATCCTCACACCTTTGTCTGGATAACTCCTCTCCCTTCATACTTGAATTTAATATAACTTCTTTAGGAAAGCCTTTTCTAACTCCTCAGACTTGATTATGACCTCAATAGAAAAGACCTGAAATTTTATGTGACATTATTATTATATGGAAACAGTCCTGGCATTTGGATGGGAGAGAAAAGTCAATCCATTCAAGAGATTGAAGTCAAAAATGTAAAAAAGAATATTATGCTCTTTCATAGCAATAAGGAACCTGACAAGACTAAAGCAGATAGGACATGACCAGGAGTCTGAAAACAGCAGAATTCAGAATTTCAATTCCCAAGTCTTCCTCCCTATTCTTAGCTTTGCCATCTCTGTTTCACCAATGATTAGCAAGTGCTTAGGAAGATTATGCAGTAAATACATATTTAATGAATGGATAGAAAGAAGAGAACCAGACGGCATGGAAGCAAGTCCTTCTTATATCCTTTACTTTCATTTTAACATTTTTCTTTTACCCTTTCATTCTTAAATTTTTTAAATCTTTTTTCCTTTCTTTCAGAAATTATAATAAAAGCATTTTTAGATCATGGTGAACAGAAAGTAAGTATTTAAAAGACAGGTAAATAAACAAAAGTTTTCAAATACACGAGTGTCATACGCAATTCTGATCCACAAATCTGCAAGGAGGTGACTGACGTACTGTGGACACATTCAGATACTTTTGTTAATAAGTTTCTAGTGTTATGTTAAATTGACTCTATTACCTTTATCCTTCAGAACTGAAGAAGTCTTCCCAGATTTTTCTTTTCTAATTTCTGCAAGAAGAATCATGAGGGAAAAAAGGTTACAAGGAATAATAGAGAAAAATGGCAAGTTCTTTACATTATGTTTACTGAGGCATAAAGAACCTAGGGGCTCTGTATTGATATTCAAGATAGAGGTTTCTACTGGGATAAATTGCCTGTAACTATCAAACTAAGTATGCTTAAGATAAAAAATAAGCCCACAAATTATTATAAGGGGCAGATTATGGTAGATAGAAAAATATACAAATACAATTCTATGGGCTTTGGAGAAAGAAGATATGATAAGAATAATAGCTAATATTGTCTACTTACTATGTATCACAGGGAATGCTCTCTACTATTTAGTCACGCAGTGTTCACAATAACCCTAAAAGTTATGTAGGTTCAGTTATTACCCCTGCTTTTCACATAAAGGGATTAAACAATGTTCCCAAGGTCATGTAGCTCTCGTTAATAAATGGGAAATATGAGATTTGAACTAAATGTCTCTTTGAACTCAAAAAGGTATTGGCTCTGGTAGCTCAATGGTGGAATCAGGAAAGGCTCTGGCAGGTGGCACTGAATAAGAGCTTGAGAGATGGAAAGGAATTAGACCAAGAGCAACAGAGCTGAAAGGACATTTTAGGACAGAAGAGAGAACGGGGAGGCGTGGGCTGGACAGTCTGTCAGTTTGGCTGAGTCACTTGTAATCAACAGAATATAGTGGAAGCGTTGCTGTGTGAATTCCTAACCTAAATCAGGATAAACCATGTGGTTTCTATCTGCTTCTGCTTCTCTAGGGACACTAGCTCTGGGGGAAGCTGGCTGCCATGTAAATACTCCAGCCGACACCGCCGAGCTGGCAAGACTATATACAAGCAATCCAGTTCAACAGTCCCAGCTGAGCTCCCAGCCACGAGCTAGCATCAACTGCCAGTCAGCTAAGCAGGCCATCTTGGACATCGAGAAGTCAAGTTACTTTAGATATCCACAATCCAAGCTTATAACTGACTGTAACCACAGGAGATATCCAAGTGAAAAACTGCTCAGGTGATCCCTCCTGAACTTCTTGATCCTCTAAATCAGGAGGAAAGTAAAATCAGCTGTCTTATATCACTACGTTTTGAAGTGATCTGTATATAGAAACAGTATGTGAAACAGCTAATAAATAGCAAAATATTACACCATGCACATTACAAGTTCTCCAGTAGAGCCAAACAGATAACAGAAAAAAAGATTAGCTCTACTATTAAAATGGGAAGGTTTTTACTGAAAAGATGCCATTTGAGTTTAGGTTCCTCAGTTGACTAAAATTTCACTGGTCAGGAAATAACAACAGTTTATCAGGGTGCAGGATATAAGTCAGATTTTTTAAAAGCTGAGGATCATATAAAAAAAGGACTCTAGGAATTCTTGATTCATAGAAGGATAATCTACCATCAATTGTGATATGGAACATAGGGAACAGAGTTCTTTGGAGGAAGACACTATCTTTGTTTTGAATATATTTTATTTCATGTGTCAAGAAGATACCCAAAAATGACATGTTGCAGGGAAAAGCCAATTTAGACTCCATGTTGGAACTGTGTTTTTGACTTGCTTTTATAAACATACATAATGGCCTGCTTCAGAGAATTCTGCCCTTTTGCCTGACTACAAGTGCCTTTGTTCAGGACCCTGTCCACCTGTGGATGGCAGGGAGGAAGAAATGAACACATCCCTTGCCTGAGGCTTGCCATTCTAGGAGATGTTTGCAAGATTAATATCCTTTTTACTTTGTTTCCTCACCTCCCCCTACATTTGTTCTATAAGAGAACCTGGCATCCAGATCCTGACAAAGGGTAATTTTGAGACATTAGTCTGGCAAGTTCTCCGTCTGCCGACTTTACCAATAAAGTTGTATTCTTTTCCTCAACACCTCATCTCCGATTTATTGGACTGTTGTGGGTGAGCAGAGCAAGCTTGGACTCGGTAACAGACATGTCTTGCAAGCAGCTGAAAATATAAGTGAAGTGCATATTTCATACAAGTGCTGCAGAAGCAGAGCTGCTTGAAGTCTCATTCCTAAGTGGAAACTATCAATACAATTAGTAAAAAGATTGTTTTTAAAGGCTCCAAACAAATCTTATTTGCTTTTGTCAAATAGATAAACTTGACTTAGTGAAAAACTAGGTATATAAGAGCAAAATAAACCAGAAAGTTAAAAACCATTTTCTTAATCATATGCAATTTAAAGAAAAACTGATGTCCTATGTTACTTTTTACCTGCATGTTTTAAACCAATCTCACATAATTGGCCAGTATTGACATCAATTCATATATTGGTAATAATAAACTTAATTTTACCAGTTATACTATTGCTAGATGTTTAAAAATGAATACCACACACAAAGTGTGATCACAATAGCTATAAATAGCAAGCTAAATTTTAAATATTATAATCTACTAGATAAAAACTATTAAAGAGAAAAATATTCAATTTCAAAAATTCAGGAATTTTTCTTTTTAATTTAGGTACCTGAATATATCTACCAAGACAAATAAATAGAAAATAGCATCTACTTTTTCTTTTAACATTATCTTCTAAAAGATAAAATATAACAATACTGTTTCTCTCTGCAAGAAAATGGGTCAAAGAACTGAACTCAACAGACATTTCTCCAAGGAAGACATACAGATGGCTAACAAACACATGAAAAGATGCTCCACATCACTCATTATCAGAGAAATGCAAATCAAAACCACAATGAGGTACCATTATACGCCAGTCAGGATGGCTGCTATCCTTAAATCCATGGCTAATTCATATCAATGTATAACAAAAACTACTGTAATGATGTAAAGTAATTAGCCTCCAACTAATAAAAATTAAAAAAAAAAAAAATTTGTATCATAAGAAAAAAAAAATAATAAATAAATAAATGTGAAAAAAAAAAATAAATAAAAGGCCTGTGAAACAGGCAAAACGAAAAACTGAAATATTGGACAATCATGTAATAAAATAAATCAGCACTAGAGTTACTCCTCAGCACATAAATGTTTTGAACATCAAATAATGTGTATAAACGAGATGGCAATTATTAATAATATCTTTCATTTATGCTCAGTTGCTTCAGTCTTTTGGGACCCCATGGACTATAGCACCCAGGCACCTGCATCCATGGGATTCTCCAGACAAGAGTTGCCATTTCCCTCTCCAGGGGATCTTCCCAACTCAGGGACTGAACTTACGTCTCTTAGATCTCCTGCATTGGCCATCAGGTTCTTTACCACTAGTGCCATCTTTGATTTGGCTATTAGCTATTATTCATTGTTCCAAATGATCAGTACCAATTTTCTATTAGTGCCATTAGGATATTAACAAAAATATTTATGTAGAAGTGCTGTGGCTTGATGTCAACGTCAAGTGCAGCTAAAATGCAAAAAAGAAACTAAAATTGGAAGGTGTAAAAGATCCTAACAAAACTGTCAGGCAGTTCAGACTTCCTAGCTATGAGAGGAATCAAACTCAAAATTCTTAACCTTTCTTTACCAGCTAGCACTACTAAAGGGCTCAATAATATCACTTCAAAAATTGTGTTTCTTTCCTCTTTTGAAAATATATAATTTGTCTGCTGATTTGAGATATTGTTTCATAAGCATCATGAATAAGAGCAAGTATCCTTTTTTTTTTTTTCCTTCTGATGGAAAGAATGGTTTTAAAGAACCATCTGGAGCACTCTATCTTTATGCTCAATGATAGGTAATTCCTCAGATCATGACTATTAATGTACATCACACCAAAATGATGTTAAATTGTTGCATAACATTTCCATTGCTTCCTAAGGTGATCTTACCTTGTTTCTAGAGTGATTCAATTGTGATCAATTGTATGATTTTTAAATATTTAATATGCAAATGCCCTACATGCATCTGTCATTGTTTTTTGTTCATCTGGACATAAAAGTGACAATCGGGGATATTTTAGAAAAGGTATTTTACAGCATTTTATATCCTTTTCAAACTCCAAAATATATTTTATAAATAAATACAGAGAAAAGAATTTTCAAGTTGTCTAAATGGTTTAGCATTCTATGCTTATAATTCCCATGAAGAAAGATATATTTTGATGTTTTATGCAATATTAACTTTGAATGTTCCCGAAAAGATGTTGTCAGTGTTTAATTTTACTCAGGACATTGTTCATTAACTTCTAATTAAGTATAACTTGATTAGGAAGCCATTTTTAATTTGTCTTTGTCTTAATGATACATTTAATTATTTACCTTATTCTATAGGCTAGCTTCCTAGGGGACTCAGTGGTAAACAATCTGCCTGTCAGTGCAGGAGACACAAGAGACAAGGGTTGGATCCCTGGGTCAGGAAGATACCCTGGAGGAGGAAAGGGCAACCCACTCCAGTATTCTTGCCTGGAGAATCCCATGGACAGTGGAGCCTGGTGCGCTATATAGTCCATGGGGTCGCAACATGTCATGGGGACATGACAGAACGACTAAACAGTAATTCTGTATATGCATCTCTAAAGAGCTTCCTTCAATTACTCAAGTATTGTGTGGTTCTAGGCAAGATAGGCTGTGTCACCATGTTAAAACTGTCATATGAGTTATGGCGTAGGAATTCAAAACAACAGATATAGAACATATTTAATGTGTATCTTGTGATCACCATGGAGACAGAAATCTTGTCCAACGGACCAAGTATTCTAGTACTTTTGACAAACTCTTTCCTATAGTAATATAGTTCTTCAAATTACCCTAGCTGAGGGACTTGTTGAATTGATCTAACTACTATCTTCCTTTGACTGAATTCTGATCCAGCTTTACAATAATAATGCTTTTAGACCATGTAGCTTGGCTCTAAGAGGAGAATACTAATCAGAATTCTGGAGTGTACCTCATTGGGGTACATTTTACTTTATCTATGATCAGCTCTTTCAGGAAGAGTAGTAATATGCAATTACTTAAAAAAATAAAATAAGCACTCCTTTATATTTTGGGAGCTTAGGTAAACTGGGGCACCTTAGGAATATAACTCTCTGAACACTAAAGAAGTTGTTTTCCAAAGAAAACTTTATTAGCATGAATTTTTCTCATGTAATCATGTTCAACTTAAGATGTCAAATTTCTCATGATTCTTTCAAGAAGAAAATCTTTGTTAAAAGATTAATTTTCTTAAGGGCAGACAAAGTTAGGTCTTGGTCATTCCTGTATTCACATACAATGATAAAGTATTGTTTCCTATGGTTAGACAGTTTTACATAAAATCTTGCTATGATTGGAATGTTTGTTTCATCCTGAAATTGATAGGCTGAGGCCTAATTTGGAGGTGGGGCCTTTGGGAGGTGATTATGTCATGAGAGTGCAGCCCTCATGAAAGGGATTAGTGCCCTTTCTTATAAGAAGAGACATGAAAAAGATGACCTGTCTTCAATCTCTCTCTCTGTCTCTTTCTCTCTCTGCACTATAGCAGGATATAGTAAGACGTTTGTTTGCAAACCAGGAGGAGCCACTTTATCAGGAACCAAATTGGCTGGCACCTGACCTTGGACAGCCTAGCCTCCAGAAATGTGAGAAATAAATTTCTGCTGTTTAAACCACCTAGTCTATAATATTTTGTAATAGCAGCCAGAGTTGACTGAGACAGATCTGTATCTCCTCACCCATTCCAGGGAGGTAGACATTATCTAGATTTTATAGATACGATAGTAGGATCTAAGAGAGGTAAATAACTTGTCCAGTATCACAACTACTAAATGGCAGTGGGAAATTTGA